CTTGCTCTGTGCAGATTCACAAATGTTATTTCCCGGATGCTCTCTAACTCTTCCCTAAATACATCCACACACATATGCTATTTGTGTCTCAACAAGCCTTCGAAAAGCTTTATCCCAGTCCTGGATCCGAATTGATTTTATGCATGTGTTGCTGTTTAAAACTGTTTTTATATTCATAGTTTTTTTAAAATGGTTTTTTCTTAATAGGGCATCGTTGTTTTTAACTGTTTTTATACAGGCGGCAACCGATTTGAGCGGGGGTTACGCTCCTGACCCCCCCCCCGCCGGCATGTCAACAGAGCACACATAAGCCCACTCTGCCCTGATACGCCCCCTGTTCCATCCCCTTTTCCGGCCACTTCCAGGTTGCTGCGATGCGCACATGCGCAGTCAAGCATCCATTGGACACACATAAATCAGTCACTGCCTGTACATGAAACTCATGTAATTGTTTTATATGTGTTATTACGTAAATATCTTTGAGATGCCTTGCAGGAAAGCAATTCGTAAATGAAATAAACAATGCAATATAACATAATCTGGAATGTAATGTGTATGTTAGGATCATTCTCAAGTGCTTTTCTATACTCTTCCCCCAGCCTTCCCCTTTCCTGGCAGATCCTTCCTTCAAGTTTCACACACAGCTTGATTGAACAGCGCTAGTGCATTTATGGGATGCTCGTCAAATAAAGAGCCTGCAAAACCTCTTCTGTTTGAAATGGCTGGAGTGGAGCTGTCAGCATATTAGATTGTATCTGGCAGCAGCTGGATACACTGTCCATGTTAATGTGATGTTACGCAGAAAGCTAGACAGCAATGCTACAGATAACCCCATTTATCTCATGGAATCATAGAATTGTAGAGTTGGAAGGGACTAGGACCCTCGTACCTACGGGACTGCATCTCCCGGTATGCCGCACCGAGGACCTTAAGGTCCATAAATAGCATCACCCTAGAGGTCCCGGGCCCTAAGGAAGTCAGATTAGCCTCAACCAGAGCCAGGGCCTTTTCAACACTGGCTCCGGCCTGGTGGAATGCTCTGTCTCATGAGACCAGGGCCCTGCAGGATCTGATTTCTTTCCGCAGGGCCTGTAAGACAGAGTTGTTCTGCCTGGCCTTTGCCTTGGAATCAATTTGATTCCCTCCCCCTCTTCTTTTTTCCTTTCTCCTCCTGTGATGAAACTCCTATTTGGGGACCTCCCTGGCTTTTTTTCTGGCCCATGTAGGACCAGTCTAGATAGTTAGCCTTGGTGAAGACTTGACCCAAAAAAGTTTTGATTTGAGTTTCCATTGAAATGAGGCTGTATTTTAATGTCTTAATGTTGTATTTTAATCTTGTTTTAAAGTTGTATTTCAATCAATTTGTTTTTATATCGGGTGTCAGCCAGCCTGAGCCCGGTCTTGGCTGGGGAGGGTGGGGTATAAATAAAATTTGTTGTTGTTGTTGTTGTTGTTGTTGTTGTTGTTGTTGTTATCATCATCTAGTCCAACCCCCTGCAATGCAAAAAATCTCAACTAAAGCATCCACAACAGGCGGCCATCCAACCTCTGCTTAAAAACCTCCAGTGAAGGGGAAACCATTTATGTATTTTAGGTAGAGGAAGCATCTAGGACAGTGGTTCTCAACCTTGAGTCCCCAAATGTTTTTGGCCTACAACTCCCATGATCCCTAGCTCACAGGACCAGTGGTCAGGGATGATGGGAGTTGTAGGCCAAAAACACCTGGGGACCCAAGGTTGAGAAAGGCTGATCTAGGAACTTGCATACCTCCCAGTATTGTTGGGTCTCAACTCAACCTGAGACGTCCTGGTATAGGGCAGTATATAAATTCAATGAATGAATGAATGAACTCTCCATCAATGCTAGCCAGCATGTGGAATGACAGGGAGTTCTACTCTAGCACATGTAGAAGGCTACAGGTTCCAGCAGTCCTGTTTTCATTAAAAAATCTATCGTACAAACTCATATCGTAGCAAGGCTACGATCAATTACTGTGATCCTGACTATCTACCTGACATTTAGAAGACATCTGAAGGCAGCCCTGTTTTAATCTTTTGTTGGAAGCTGACCAGAGTAGTTGGGGAAACCCAGCCAGATGGGTGGGGTATAAATATATCCTCCTCCTCCTCCTCCTCATCATCCTAAATCACAGAAATATCTATAACCTGGAGGAATGGGCAATCAGCACCACCATGCTCCTCTGTGACCTATGCAGTTGCATGAGTCAGGAGCAACAGGTTGCTGAGCCGCTCCAAAAGAGGTGTGCCACTCCCCCCGCTCCAGGAGAAAAGCATCTGATGTTATCTGGTCCAGATTGCTAGGTATCTCTGGTGTATATGGGAAGGGGCTGTTTTAACACAACCCTCAAATGAAGTGGCAATTATAGCATCTAAGGCCTGGGGCAGTATTTGCCAACCTGGCGCTCTCCAGAGATATCGGACCCCAACTCCCATCACACCCAGCCTATCAATTTCCAGTGTACCTTGGGAAAGGATTTTTATTCAAGTCACATTGGCTAACAAGTCCACTTTCACTCATTGATTTTCACTGCTGTTTGTTCTGAAGTTGGTTGGTTCTGTTTTGCCTCTGTCTGCCATATCAACTTTGTCTCACTTGCTCGAGTCTTCCGCTCTGCCCATTAGCCATGCTGGTACCCTCTTGACCCTGATGGTACATTTCTAACTGAGCTTTGATTGTTAGCCAAGCAATGGATCCAAACTACAAGAAAGAAGATTCCACCTAAACATTAGGAGGAACTTCCTGACAGTAAGAGCTGTTCGACAGTGGAATTTGCTGCCAAGGAGTGTGGTGGAGTCTCCTTCTTTGGAGGTCTTTAAGCAGAGGCTTGACAACCATATGTCAGGAGTGCTCTGATGGTGTTTCCTGCTTGGCAGGGGGTTGGACTAGATGGCCCTTGTGGTCTCTTCCAACTCTATGATTCTATGATTCTAGAGACACCTGACCATCTTCATTTCCCCTATCAAGTTCCTTATAACCAGTCTTCTCATATGTTACTGTGTTGTACTTTCCTGGAATTTCCCTGTCCTTCCTGTAGAATTTGCACCCAGAGATAACAGTGCCCCCGCTGGTTCTCTCCATTCCACGAGGTTCCTAATTTTCTAATTTCTAATTTTCCATTAGATTTATGCTCTCTTCAAAGGCCAAGTACTCCAGCTTGCCCATCTTGACTTGGAGACCTCCAGCACTGGCATCCAGATGCCTAAATAAGATCTCTCCAAATGTCTTTGGCATGTGTATTTTACGGTACAACACTCTGTGGATTTCTTGAAATTATTATTTCGGTACAACACTTTGGCCTCTTTGCATTGCTATCTTCTGCTCCATCCCATTTTAGCTATCATCGCTTAGGGATGCTTTTATCGTGAACCAGATGCTCCTCAGTTTCCCCCTGAAATTAGCTTTCATGCGACTCTGGCACCCTTTTAAAAAAAATAAAAAATAAATCTCAATACTCTGGTTCCATCCTGGTTCAAGTGAAGCCAATGCCCTTTTGTACAGAGCCAACCTGTCCCAAAATGTGCCTTTGCATTTATCACACGTCCTGCCTGTCTTGTAAAGTGCTTTGAATGGAATGGGGAGCTTTTCAGAGAATGGTACCTTGAAGCTCCTGGCTTTCAACATCCTACTTAGCAACCTACATTTTGCTTCCAAGACCGCACAATGATATTTCCTCACGTCACTGGTGCTAAAATGCACCACTCCTCAGCACCATCTACCAGTCTAGCTAGATGATGCATGACTATCTTTGAGCCAGGCAGTCAAGTCACCTGGTAGTCTGCACCCTCATTACAAAGCCAGGTATCTATGTCCCTAATGATCAAATTATCCACTACACAGAAGCTTCTGTTCTACAGGGGAGTATCGTCAACCCAAAAGGGCATTTGTTTGTTCCCCGAGGAACGGGTTTCTTCTAATGGATGCTTTCCATCTTCCTCAGAGTGACGACCTCCTTCCTCAAGACTCTCAGTAACAGTGACAGTGGAAAAGCTGTTAGGCTGAGAGTGGGACACAATTATTGCATCCCCAAATGTGTCCGACTCTCTCAGGTTCTCTGCAACAGCTAACTTAGCCTCAAGGGAACAAACTTGTTCCTTGTGTGCCAGGAGCTCGTTCCACCAAGAACACGCAGGTGTCAGCAAGAATACAGTTGTGTATGTGACATTCTGGATAGTCCCCACACACCGCTGCTGCCTTTCCACTCACACACCTGTTATTGTTGCTTATTGTGGCAATTTACTTTGGAGTTTGGGGTTGATTGCATCAGAAGAAGGCAGCGTAGTCTGGCACGGCCCCTTCCCCCCCCCACTGCTGAACTCACATAGCTGCCTAACCTCACTTGTTACCTTGACACTTTGTTACTGGGATTGAAGCGCTTCCATCAGCTAGAATTCTCACTCTCGTTTGCAGAATTTAGTGTTCAAGAAACGGTGTGGCCAGCAGGACAAATGCCCAGGGTCCCACATGGCAGAATGACCACGAGGGCTCCCAAACAGGGCTGGAGGACTACATTTTGAAATCTGTATAGCAATACCCACTGTCATCTAAAGAATAGGATTCTACGCTTCTATTATACAGATAGGTAAAAAGGTAAAGGTAAAGGACCCCTGGATGGTTAAGTCCAGTCAAAGGTGACTATGGGGTTGCAGTGCTCATCTTGCTTCAGGCCGAGGGAGCAGGTGTTTGTCCACAGACAGCTTTCCAGGTCATGCGGCCAACATGACTAAACCGCTTCTGGCACAACCGGACACCGTGACAGAAACCAGAGTGCACGGAAATGCTCTTTACCTTCCCACCACAGTGGTACCTATTTATCTACTTGCAGTGGTGTGCTTTCGAACTGCTAGGTTGGCAGGAGCTGGGACAGAGCAATGGGAGCTCACCCTGTCGTGGGGATTTGAACCGCCGACCTTCCAATCGGCAAGTGCAAGAGGCTCAATGATTTAGACCACAGCACCACCTGCGTCCCATTATGCAGATAAGACCCCGGAGGAACAATGGGTCAGCGTGTTTGGCTGTTAACCAGAGGGTTGGTGGTCTGAGCCCACCCGGGGACGGCAGCGGGCAGGATTCCAGAATCGAAGGGGGTTGGATTAGATTGACACTTAGGGTCCCTTCCAACTCTACAGTTCTAGGAGGTGTGACAGAGTGGAGTTAAGACCATTGCATCCAGAATCTAAAATAACCTGGCTACACCACTGTCAGGCAGCAGAACCTCAGAAAGCAATTTCTCCACAGGTCCTGCGTTTTCTTTTTTAATTTACTAAACAGAATTAAAAATACTAAATTGAGGTTGCCTGTTAATATTCATGAGGTTAAATAATTGATACTAATAGAAATGGAAAATTAAAAGCAGCATTACTATAGGTTAAGAAGAAATGAAATCCGCTCTGCAGAGGAACAGCCCCCACCGCATATGATCCCATCAAATTTACTCCCTTCACCTTCTCAAGCGCAGGTGACTTGGAAAGCCACACTGCCATTATCTTAACAGTGGGGTTCCTTGATGGCCCCTCAGACAGGACCGTCATCCCCATTTAGCACTATCAACCACACTGCAGGCCTATTGTGAGTCAACAAGCAAGAAAAACTTCCACATGCTAGTTAAATGTAAGTAAGCTAACTCATCTGTTCATACTTCATTTGCATAAATATGGAAGATGCTAGGCCGCAGCTGGTAAATTGGGCTTCAATCAGCCTGTGAATTTTATTAAAAAATATAAACGGCTTATTAAGTTTTCACAATTGTAATTACGAAGCCTTCTGTAAAGTTTCGACTCTGCATCAACAAAACAGCTTCCTGTCCTAGTCTCTGTTCACAAACACACATTAATCTACCCTAAGGCAGTTAGGTATTCTTAGGGGTGTTCAGAGATATTCTTAATTGCACATTGTTAATCCCGTATTATGTATAAACAATTTAAGGCAGCCTGTCAATGGTAATGAAATTAGAAAAATAATTAAATGGGCTTTTTTTTGTGTATGGTGAACTTGCCAAATGGTTTGTGAAAATTTGAAAGGAAGAAAAAAGAGAGGCAAGCCACAAATATGCAAAAACCCAATAATAATATGATGCAGAAGGTAGTTCATCCCAATGTCTTCCGAGCCAGAAATACTCTATTTTGGTACATACAATAAAACTGAAAACCAAAAGTGACATCTTTTTCATAAAAACCAATTATTTATGATACCTTAATTTGCTAAAATTTGTCAATAACGGAATGCAATGAGGGTACCTTTTAACACTCCGCAGGATCGAACAAATCTAAAACCATTGTGATTTAAACACTTCATGGGCTCTCTGAGGAAGCAGCAGAGCATCTGAGCTCCCCGACCCGACTCAAGGCTTTTGCTTCAGATTCAAAATGTTGTGATCCCTGCATTGCAGGGGGTTGGACTAGATGACCCTTGGGGTCCCTTCCAACTGTACAATTCTATGATTCGGTGAGTCTATGACACACACTACAGGGTTAAATTCAGTTACCTCCCTGAGGCACAAGCCTTGGATCCAGGATCTAGGCTGCCCAGACACCCTTCTCTTGGCCTCACTGATGTGGTCCAAAGGAAAGCAGAGCAATATGTTTGGCACCAGCTTAGCTGCAGAAGTTGCCAGAAGGAGGCGTACAAGGCGCCATCCAACTGTCCTTAAGGACTCCATTTGTATATGATTTTCTCCTGAGCCTTTTCTTCTTCTGAAGATATCCCACAAGGCAGCAGAGGTTTAGAATCAGTGTTTTCCTTCTCCTAGATGGGCTACCTTCCCAAGCTGATGAGCCCCATCTGCTCACGAGCTTGGGGAATACAGTGGTACCTCGGGTTAAAGAACGTAATTCGTTCTGGAGGTCCGTTCTTAACCTGAAACTGTTCTTAACCTGAGGTACCACTTTAGCTAATGGGGCCTCCCACCGCCGCCGCACCATTTCTGTTCTCATCCCGAAGCAAAGTTCTTAACCCGATGTAATATTTCTGGGTTAATGGAGTCTGTAACCTGAAGCGTCTGTAACCTTAAGCGTCTGTAACCCGAGGTACCACTGTAACACCAAAACTAACTGAATGTCCCTGTGGTCTACAATTGTTGTTGTTTAGTCGTTTAGTCGTGTCCGACTCTTCGTGACCCCATGGACCAGAGCACACCAGGCACTCCTGTCTTCCACTGCCTCCCGCAGTTTGGTCAAACTCATGCTGGTAGCTTCGAGAACACTGTCCAACCATCTCGTCCTCTGGTGGTCTACAATAGAAGTCTACAATTGGCATCTTAAAAAGCAGAGACATCACCTTGCCGACAAAAGTCCGTATAGTTAAAGCTATGGTTTTCCCATTAGTGAGGTATGGAAGTGAGAGCTGGACCATAAAGAAGGCTGATTGCCAAAGAATGGATGCTTTTGAATTATGGTACTGGAGGAGACTCTTGAGAGTCCCATGGACTGCAAGAAGATCAAACCTATCCATTCTGAAGGAAATCAGCCCTGAGTGCTCACTGGAAGGACAGATCCTGAAGCTGAGGCTCCAATACTTTGGCCACCTCATGAGAAGAGAAGACTCCCTGGAAAAGTCCCTGATGTTGGGGAATATGGAAGGCACAAGAAGAAGGGGACGACAGAGGACGAGATGGTTGGACAGTGTTCTCAAAGCTACCAGCATGAGTTTGACCAAACTACAGGAGGCAGTGGAAGACAGGAGTGCCTGGCGTGCTCTGGTCCATGGGGTCACAAAGAGTCGGACACGACTAAATGACTAAACAACAATTGGCAGCCTGGGGGCCAAATCCATTCCTCTCCGAGTACCCCCTGTTCATTACCAACCGAGGACCATGTGATCATTTGGAGAGGAGGGCATGACAGACTGAGCAGAGTTCACCTGGGAGATGGAACTTTGCCTCATTGCTCTCCATCTCTTCTTCTTCTACCTCCTCCTCAGTACGGTCCTTAAGCAGAACCAGTCGCTGGTCAGGAGGTCTAGAAAATATGTGTCTTTTTTAAGGACACATATTCAAAATCACTTAGCACTGACTAATTGCTCATTAGCACCATTTTATCCAGCCTTTGGGGACATACAGTTCATGAATTATCAGCTTCCTCCACGCTCTTTTCCGTTCAAGTCTGTGTGTGAAGTTAAGTGAGGATCCTGCTCTGCGCTAATGACTGTAAGCACAGGAATAAGGGTGGGGCAGTTATTTTACTCCAGACTAGAAAAGGCTGCTTAGAAACAACTAACTAGAGCATGGGTAGGCAAACTAAGGCCGGCGGGCCGGATCTGGCCCAATCGCCTTCTAAGTCCGGCCCGTGAATGGTCCGGGAATCAGCGTGTGTTTACATGAGTAGAATGTGCTCTTTTATTTAAAATGCATCTCTGGGTTATTTGTGGGGCATAGGGATTCGTTCATTCCCCCCCCCCCCAAATTATAGTCTGCCCCCCCACAAGGTCTGAGGGGTTTCTGGGGGTTTTCCTGTTGTTATTCTGCCTCTCACAGCTACAATAAACCTACCATTAAAATTATGGACTGGCCAATTCTTCGTCGGAGGGCAAACGGGCAAATTTAGCAGGGGATCAAATACTTTCCCCCCTCACTGTATATAAAAGTCAGATTGAGAGGGCTAAAACTGGGAGTTGCTTTTCTGTTCTAATTGGGCTTTTTCATCCCAACCCCAGTGCTGTCGCCGCTGTTGTTGTTTTTAACAAAGTTTATTTGCATGAATATAGCTGAGGCCCAACACTGAGTTCTAGTACAAAGCAAAAATGGATCTTTTGTTCGTTTTACCATGTAATGAAAACAGCCAATAAAGATTTCAAAGAAAGATGGTGGCCCCATTGATTTTCAGGGTCAGATAGAAAACCTGCCTTAGAGTGGGATCTTGAAAACAGGGGTCTCTTTTTATGCTGTCTCAAGCCAGCCATATGCCTTCCAAAGAAGTCAGTGGATGTTTTTCAAAACAAAAAAACAGCAGCTCCAAATATATGATCACTGTTGATGTGTCACAACAACTTGGTGACGAGTAGAAAGGTAGAAGAATGTGCCTACTGGTCAAATCACCATCTGAGGTGAAATCTTGGAATTCTCAAACATTGCAGTCTTGCTGCGTAAACACCTGCTTAAGAACATTTACGATTTTAATTAAGTTATTTTAAGGAGTGTTTGTACACTTTGTACCAGACACAGGTCGACAGTCATCGCACCTCTCTTCTTAATGCACATTAATCAGTCTCATCCTTCTGGTATCAACTCATGATCTCTCACTTTCTTGTTGAGTTTTTTTTTTTACTTTCTTAATGAAAATTCAGGCATTTCATTGTAATGGAACCAGCGATTCTTAAATGGGGACATCCAAGAGAGAGATCTATTAATCAGGGAGTAAATAGGGGAGTACTGGGGTGAAGGCAGCCTCATTTCTCCTCTTGAAATAACTTATGACAACCAGTAGAGGAAAACTGTTGCATACTGGATATCCCATGTATAAAATATCCCATGGGCATTAAAAACTAGGATACAGCAAAGAGGAAGGGTCCTGCTGGATGAGGCCACTGGTCCACCTAGTCTGATGTTCCCCTGGACAAATTTCTGAAGAATGCAATATGTGGCAACTTTTTTTCTTAGTGGGAAATTGGTTTGAAGAGAAATACTTTTGCCTAGCTCCCAAAGGTGTATAATGAAGGCCCCAGGTGAGCCACCCTGGGGAGAGCATTCCAAAAACAGGGGGCCACTGCAGAAAAGGCCCGTTGTCGTGTTGCCACCCTCCGGACCTCTGGAGGAGGAGGCACACGAAAAAGGCCTCAGATGATGATTACAGAGATAGCAACTAAGATCAAGGAGAATCAAACTCTCAAATAAATGCCAGTCAAGCTGAACCGAAAAATCTACACACTTTTTGGTTTACGGACAGGCACTGATGAGCTTCCAGAAACCGCCAACTCATAAGAACCCTTCACACGTTACTTGCATGATGAGGGCAAAGGTGGTGGCAGACTCTGTGGCGTCATGCGTTTATAATAATAAAATATAATAATAATTTATTATTTATACCCCGCCCATCTGGCTGGGTTTCCCCAGCCACTCTGGGCGGTTTCCAACAAAGTATTAAAATACAGTAGTCTGTTAAACATTAAAAGCTTCCCTAAAGAGGGCTGCTTTCAGATACCTTCTAAAAGTCTGGTAGTTGTTTTTCTCTTTGACATCTGGTGGGAGGGCGTTCCACAGGGCGGGTGCCATTACCGAGAAGGCCCTCTGCTTGGTTCCCTGTAACTTGGCTTCTTGTTGTGGGGGAGGAAGGGAAAGGAGAATGTTAGCCGCTTTGAGACTCCTTCGGGTAGTGATAAAGTGGGATATCAAATCCAAACTCTTCTTCTTCTTCTTCTTCTTGCAGTGCGGGAACCGCCAGAAGACCCTCAACGCTAGACCTCGGTGTCTGGGCAGAACAATGGGGGTGGTTTAGCTCCGCCCCGATGCCACATCCACTGTTTGCCCTGTTGCCATGATCATCTTCACTTCTACACTTCATACAGATGTTTTGTGCCCAATGCAGAACTTGGGGACAGGGTTAAATGTGCAGCTCCACATCCCCTAACACCACACTTATGAGCAATGCATGAAGAGGGCTATACAGTGGTACCTCGGGTGAAGTACTTAATTCGTTCCGGAGGTCCGTTCTTAACCTGAAACTGTTCTTAACCTGAAGCACCACTTTAGCTAATGGGGCCTCCTGCTGCCGCCACGCCGCCAGAGCACGATTTCTGTTCTCATCCTGAAGCAAAGTTCTTAACCATTATTTCTGGGTTAGCAGAGTCTGTAACCTGAAGCGTATGTAACCTGAGGTACCACTGTATTTTACACGGGAACTGGGAATCATAAATGCATCCACTTCCGGAGCGCAATTTTTACATCCTACTTTGTGCCCTTTGGAAAACGCATTCGTTTACAGTGTTCTTTTATTTATTTAAACTATTTCTGGGCCCACATTGCTGGGCAGTAGCCACTAAAGGCAGTCTGAACACTAAAAGTTTACTGAATATCAATTTAAGGCTTTAAATGTTAAAATCATCTCAGAAATGGACCAGGAGCCAGTGCCACTGGTATAGTTGTGGTGTTATGGAAGCTGATTCCCTCACCCCTATCAAAACTCCAGTGGCCAAATTCTAGACCAGCTAGCAAGTCCAAGCTACTTTTAAAGGCAGCCCCAAGTAGAGAACATTGCAGTAGTCAAACCTGGACATGACCAGGGCAGAGATGGTTGCAAACTTGGCAAACTGTAGTGAATTTAAAGGTTGAGCCATGCAGTACATTAACTCAAACTCCTTAGCATCCTTTAATATTACTTTCAACTGCTAAGACTTGGTTCTACAGGAAGAATGAAAATGCGATGAACAGAAAGGGATGGATTATTAACCTCAACTTTATTGCTTAGTCAATTCTTCAACCCGTATAGCAACATGGGGTAGTTTTCGATCACTACAAACATCTTCCTAGAGAGGAAAATTGCATTGGCAGAATTTAATTTACCTCCAGCGAAACTTCAGATACCCGACCTTTGGGAATTTGATCCAATCTAAGATCAACAGCTATAGATGCTTTGCGTACTCAAACTCATAGAGAAACACTGTTGGGTCTCAATAAATACAAAATAAAACACCGCTTTAGCAACTAACTATTTCATGGCAGAAAATACAGAGGTAAGGCTGCTGTCACTTTGCTATTGGGGTTTAGGGGTGTTTGACCAGTAAACTCAGCCTCTAGCTAGGAATTGTTCTGTTTGAGCACTGCCCTGCTCAAATCGTAAGCAGACTGATTTGAGCCCTCTTCAGCTTCCGAGTTTGCTCTGTGGGTCCTGCTCCCAGCAGCCCCTATAAAAGCAAGGAGGAAGAGACTGCTGGCAGGAGCATTTTGGACTAGGATCTCGGAGACCAGGGTTCATAGAATCATAGAACTGTAGAGTTGGAAAGGACCATGCAGGTCACCCTCTGCAATCCAGGAATCTTTCACCCAACATTGGGCTTGGACCCATGACTCTGAGATCAAGAGTCTCATGCTCTACCAACTGAGCTACAGGGTTGTTGTCAAGATAACAAAAGGAAGGTAGAAATCGTGTATGCCAGTTCGAGCTCCTTGGAGGAAACAAGGAATACAAATGGAATGAATGAATGAATGAGCATTCCATGACTTGCTTTGCTTCTACCATCTCTGAACCTGCATATCTTCCGTATCCCACCTAGCCTATTAGCCTGTTCCCTACTCAGTGCTTGAATTACCGAGCTGGAGGCAGGGAGGAAGAGGGTCCCTAAATTAAAGGGTTGTCACCCCTTAATGAAAGCTCCCATCCTATCAAATCATAGCCTCTATGGCAGGGGTCGGCAAACTTACAACGCCTTGGTCCAGTGTCTCCAGCGCCGATCGTGCGGTGGGCCGGAGGGCAGGGGAGTGCGTGCCCATACGCATGCACACACGCTATTTCCGGTGCTCCTCTGACCCAGAAGCGGGCAGCAGAGCAGTGCAGTGCCGGTAAGAGTGGGCGGCGGCAGCAGAGACCGTTGTGGGCCCGATAAACGAGTCCCTCGGGCCTTAACTGGCCCGTGTGCCTTAGTTTGGGGACCCCTGCTCTATGATGTTCTAAACACAGTCGCTGAGATGGCTGGGCTTTCCCAGTAATCTGAGCATCGCTTGCCCATAGAGTGCCCGCTTACCCTGTTCCCACCCTGGCTTGCCCCTACTGAACCTGCCTGCAGGTGGAATGACTGTGAGATGGTGCCCTTCTACATTTCTCACCCCTCTTTTATCCTGCATGTTATTTTATTGTCCAGTTTCCCCTGGCCTTGGCCCAAGTCCCTGATTCCTGATCTCCATTTGACTTTAGAGACGGCTGCTGCTCTCTTGGCAGTGTCTCAGCCTGACTGAGCTGGTGCACCACTAAACAACAACCATGCTGGGATCTGCCCACGCCGATGTTGCTGGATCAGCTTTCCTGTTGCCCTGAGCCCTGGAGCAGATCCAAGAAATCGCTGTGTGAATCCAACCCTGGCAGCCTTGCCACCCACACCCTGGTACCTCTAGCAACTCTTGGGGAATTAATTGCAATTTACTGTCTTGAGGAAAGTCCTTCAGTGCCTGCTTAAAGCACGATGCTATCAGCATCATCTCGTTCCTCTCCCATGCAAGAGGCCTTAACTACAGGTTTGAACAAATAAGCCAGCTCAGATTGGAAAGTTCTGCATAACCCTTCTGAGAAATTTCCAAGGTATAAAACGCTATTTGTGCACTAGAGAGCTTTTCTTTCTTTCTTTCTGTTAAAAGCAAAAAGGAAAAGAAAAAAAGGGCAATTTAACTGTAGTTTACTGCATTTTGCTTTTTGCTAGATGGGTGATTGTACCGTTCCAGCACACTGCCTAACAATTTTTGCAAGTCAGCAGTAGAAAAGCGAGCAGTAATAAGTAATAGAAGTTGCTTAGCAGAGACATTACATAATGCATACGCAAATATTTTTCTCCAGAGAGAGGCAGTTTTGTTCTAGATGGGATATGTGGAGCTTATGTAGGTGCTATAAGGAGCACATAGAACCACAGATTTATAGAGTCAGAAGGGACCCTGAGGGTCATCTAGACCAACCCGCTGATGCATCCATGACAGATGGCCATCCAACCTCTGCTTGAAAGCCACTAACAAAGGAGAGCCCACAAACTCCTGAGGAAGTCTGTTATTGCTTGGGAAACACCTAAGTGTGGGGAAAACTAAAGCACATACACTTCTTTGTGCTTTAAATATTGCATTACACAAACGTTTTCATTGGAATACTTATAAAATATTATAGGCAATACATCCCTTGCATTGCTTAAATTTAACAAGGGCGGGGAATAATGAAAAGTGCTGATACACTAATACATTCTAGTGCCCCAAAGAACTTGGCATGATGTGCTGACTCACTGCTTCTTGCGAAATCTAATTTCATAGTTTAACCAGGCACTGTGTGATGAAGCACGTCAGATTTTCCTATACAGTGGACGCTCGGGTTGCGAACATGATCCATGTGGGATGCATGCAGGTTGTGATTTGGCGCTTCTGAGCATGCACAAAGTGTGATTTAGTGCTTCTGTGCAACTGCCAAAACCCGGAAGTAACCCATTCCAGTACTTCCGGGTTTCAGCGGTCCGTAACCTGAAAAAATGCAACCTGAAGCGGCTGTAACCCAAGGTATGACTGTACTCAATCTCCCACTGTTCTCCTGGACTAAATGGCCCTAAGCCAGGGGTCAGAAAACTTTTTCAGCAGGGGGCTGGTCCACTGTCCCGCAGGCCTTGTGGGGGGCCAGACTATATTTTGAAAAACAAATAAATCAATGAATTCCTATGCCCCCAAAATCACTCAGAGATGCATTTTAAATAAAAGGACACATTCTATTCATGTAAAAACACTCTGATTCCTGGACCGTCCGCAGGCCGAATTTAGAAGGCGATTGGGCCGGATCCGGCCCCCGGGCCTTAGTTTGCCTACCCATGCCCTAAGCATTATGAGGAAGAGTGAAAAACTGAGTGTCCCCACCCACCCCATCTCCCCAGGGTGTCAATTAAGCCAGTGTGTGGCATAATGGTTATTGGGTTGGGCTATGACCTGGGAGAGCAGGGTTCGAATCCCCACTCACTGGGTGACCTTGGGCCAGTCACCGTTTCAGCCGAGACCACATAACACTGGTCTTGAAAGACCTACATTGGCTCCCAGTACATTTCCGAGCACAATTCAAAGTGTTTAAAGCCCTAAACGGCCTTGGCCCAGTATACCTGAAGGAGTGTCTCCACCCCCATCGTTCTGCCCTGACACTGAGGTCCAGCTCTGAGGGCCTTCTGACGGTTCCCTCACTGCGAGAAGCAAAGCTACAGGGAACCAGGCAGAAGGGCCTTCTCGGTAGTGGCACCCGCCCTGTGGAACGCCCTCCCAACAGATGTCAAAGAGAAAAATAACTACCAAACTTTTAGAAGACATCTGAAGGCAGCTCTGTTTAGGGAAGCTTTTAATGTGTGACATTTTAGTGTATTTTTGTTCTTTGTTGGAAGCCACCCAGAGTGGGCGGGGTACAAATAATAAATTATTATTATTATTACTACATGGCAGGGTTGTTGCAAGGATGAAATGGGGGGGGGCGGAGGCAGGAGAACCACTCACAGCACCTTGAGCTCCTTGGAAGATAATAAAATAAACAAAATAAGCTAAGCACAACCAGACAAAGGCAAGGTTCAGCTTCCTTGACCACGGCCATTTGCCATGGATGCTTTAGCTGAGATTCCTGCATTGCAGAGGGTGGGACTAGATGATTCTGTGCTCTCCCTTCCTCCTTACATCCTTCAACTTGCACGACGTTTCAGCCCGTCCTTCACAGAATTCGCCAAAAGGAAAGACATGTTTCACCAGGGGGGGAGGCGGTTTACTGCTGGAAAATATTGTTTTCTACCTGTACAGCAGGGAGGGGGGGGAAACCTGTGGCCCTCAATGCTATGGGACTGTACTTATTATTATTATTATTTTTCAATTTGTATACCGCCCTTTGTATACGGCACCTCTCAGGTTGGTTCACAACATAAAATTGCAATATAAAAACCACAAAATACATAGCAGAAATAAGAACAACAACAAACCAGCAATCCCCCCTCCAAAAACCGATAACCCCCTCTCTCATCAGAGTAGGTCTTTGGGGCAGATGGGGCTCATCAACTTCTCTACTTCAGGTCATGGACCACAATAAATATACTACTACAACAAACCCTTATATTACCTCTCGAAAGCCCATCCTTCCCGGTGAAGACCTGAGTCTCTTTGCCAATGAAAATATGTATTCTTATTCAGCTTCGCTTCTCCAGGAGTATTTCAGGACTTGCTTTTTGTTTTGTTGCATTTCTCTTATCAGATATAGATTGGTAGTTGTCAGGGGCACATCAGTTATAGTGCCTGAGCGTTTGCTGTTTGCAGACTTTCAGATGTCAGGAGAGGTAAAGCGTGAGCAAGACAGATGGAAACTGAATCCCGTCTCTTCCTTGAAGATTTCATGAGGGGGGAAATAAAACTTCTCCACACCCCACACCCCTGATCTCCCCTACAGCTGAGCTTTTGCGTGTTTTGGTTTTCGGATCTAAAGATGCCCTTTCCAGAAGGTAGAACTTTAAGTCAAAAAAGGTAGGCAGTTGATGAAGAAGAAAAAAGTGAAGTTGTTTGGGCTGTTCTTGTTTATTTTATTATTTTTAGTTTTTTTATTATAGACTGCTTAACATCCTAAAAATTATTAAGTGATATACAAAAGGTAGTTGCTTGTTGGTTCATGTTTTGAAACATGTGTGTTTTCTCACCTTGATGAGGTAACTTTTTAAGGAAATCTCTAAACCTGACTGCCCAAATGGGGAACTGGTGAGCCTTCACATGTGGTTGGACTCCAGGTCACATCAACCACAGCCAGCATGGCCAAAGGCCTTGCAGTTGTCAGCATCTGTCTCGAGAGACAATGGAGTATGCCTCCAGGGGTGAAGGGTGCTTTTCCAAACCCTAATTGGAGATGCTCCTACATGCAACTGAGTTAAAGTCAACAACAACAATAATAATTTATTACTCATACCCCACCCATCTGTATGGGTCTCCCCAGCCACTCTGGGCGACTTCCAACAGAATATTAAAAACACAATAAAACATCAAACATTAAAAACTTCCCTAAACCGGGCTGCCTTCAGGTGTCTTCTAAAAGTCAGATAGAGTGGTACCTCGGGTTAAGAACTTAATTCGTTCTGGAGGTCCGTTCTTAACCTGAAACTGTTTTTAACCTGAGGTACCACTTTAGCTAATGGGGCCTCCTGCTGCCGCCACGCCACCGCCACATGATTTCTGTTCTCATGCTGAAGCAAAGTTCTTAACCCGAGGTACTATTTCTGGGTTAGCGGAGTCTATAACCTGAAGTGTCTGTAACCTGAAGCGTCTGTAACCCGAGGTACCACTGTAGTTGTTTATTTCCTTGACATCTGGCGGCAGGGCGTTCCACAGGGCGGGTGCCACTACCGAGAAAGCCCTCTGCCTGGTTCCCCGTAACCT